CAAGACAAAAGCACGAGTGGAACCGTGATAAGAGAAAATGAAAATCACTCAGGCCTGTATGATTTGAGACTTTATAGTTTATACCCTGAAGCAATATGTGAGAGGATCTTGTGAGAGTGGAAATTAAGTCGTAAATTGGTTCCCACTCCACAGTCTAATGCGTGTCCCCTTTTCAGATCAACTTAGGCTGTGTTTGGTTTGAAGGAAAAGGTAGGAAAGGGAAGGGAAAAAGATAGGGAAATCTATACAAAGTTTGTAAAAGTTTCCCTACATTTTCCTTCCCTTCTCTACCTTTTCCTTCAAACCAAACATAACCTTTGAAGCTAGGGCCAAAGAAGACTCTAGAATCCTTTCCCATGATAGAACTCAGGGGATCAGATCTTTTGTCCATCTCCCATCTTGTTATTCTTGGATAACTTTGAGAAGCTTAGCTCACCAAACCCTAGTCCTTTTCCTCCCCGTTTCACCTTCTTCTCTACTTTTCACTCTTAGAACCTAGACCATTCTCACCAGTGTCCACAGATGGAGATTTCAACAATAATGGTAATCAATGACCATTTGGATCAATATTTTATAGATATGGAAATGGAAGTTAAAATCACTTTTCTCTTCAGGTGGTATTGTGGTGGGTCCGCGATTTAACCATCTGGATCAAATGGGTTAGTTCATTATGTTAAAATTAAATAATATATAATAAAATATAAAAATAGATAACAATGCTGATAAATACAGAACAGTTATAGAAAAATTAGACATATTTCTAATATTATATATTTATCACATCATCATCATCATCATTATTATTATTATTATTATTATTATTTAGAAAGACTTTTTCATCTTTGCAATAAAAAAAGTTAAATTATAAGAAATTCCTTCTAACGTGTGAAAGATATTTGGGATTTTTTTACCACTACCCTCTCTCCAACTGAAAAAGAAAAAAGGAAATCAGTGTTTTGAAAATCATACCAGACCGAATGGTTGAACGTTGGGAACCGGTTGACGTTCTAGGTCCAGTTAGGTATGTATACATATATACATATATTGGCAGGAATCCCATGGGACAAGGATCGGGGTCCTCATGGGGCAAGGAGTGCTCTCCTTGTCCCCGTGCCATCTCCGCCAATAGGGATGAAAATTTCCCCATCTCTGTTACCGCAAGGGAAAATCATCCCCATCCCTGCCCCATTCAAGGCGGATCCCCATGGGGATTGGGGAAGTGGGGAAAATTGCCATCCTTAAATTTGATAAGCAACTGTATCAAAAATTAATTATTGTTATTTTTTGTATTATAAAAAGTATTAAAAATAGTGTATAAAATATAAATAATTATTAATTATTATATAAAAGAATTATATACTCTTATATGTTTCTATTATTTATCTTTAATTTAAAAAATCTCGTACATCACATAGGTCCCACTAGTAAAATATGTAAATGATGATTCTCGCATTTTAAAATGTTTTAATTAAGATGTTGCTCTAGATAACCACCAATCAAATGCTAATAACTAAGAGTGTTAATTTTTGAAATTACAGCTACACAATTATCGTAATTGAAAGTTGACGCCTTTAGGTATTACTACCCCAAATAAAAAAAAAAATATAGAAAATTAAAACTTACAAACTAGGCAACTCATGAGCAGAGACTGGATTGTACACCTATGGATCCTTTATTGAATTTAAGGTAAGTGGCAATGAATCATCCACTCATTTTTAGAATTTTGAAATAGCTAAGCAAGAATCTTTGTTTTCTTGTTTTCTGTTTTGTAAATTCTATAGTATTAAAATATATACATGGTTTGGCACAAAACCATGCATGATTATACATTGCTTCATTTGAATTTGGTACTGAAAATGATTTAAAATAAAGTTGTATGATGCAGGGATGACATCGATATATGACACAATGAAGTTTACATCGTAACAAATATATTGACAGCAATACTAGATGGACAAACAGTACAAGAAAATCTGTCAAACTAACGGCTGATGGAGTGGTGGACGTTGACCGTCAGTAGGGGCCGTTTGATCACGGCTGGAGTGGTTAAACTGGGGAAATTTATGATACAGGAAAAATATGGTATAAAAAGAGTTTTGACCAATCAAAATCCACCTATGAATTTTGATAAATAATATATAATTGATTACCACGTTTTGTGATCATTTGATTGGTCAAAAAAAATTGAGATATTGTATCTTTCCGATATCATAGTTGAACCCGTTAAACTGAAAGACTTATTACTCTTTCCATACGATATCTTTTTCTCACCATAGATTTTCCCTAGATAGTTATATAATAAAAAATTCAAGGGTTGTCCAAGTGGTCCAATTTTAATAGATAACTAATGGGACCCTTGCGACGTACGTGTTTTGTTAAGTGAAAACAACAAAAAAACATAAAAGTAGATAACTTTTTTATATTTTAACTTTTAAATAATTAATAATTTTTATGTTTTATATACTACTTTTAACTATTTTTTACAATACAAAAATAACAATATTTAATTTCAGCTAAATTAATAGTCTAATCTTTAATAAAAGCTAATAATTTAATATCTAATAATTTTTGAAAACTTACTATTAAAAAACAAAACAAAAATATATTCATATATATTTATAGAAAATATATTTATCAAGCAAATACAATAAATAATTACTAAAATACAATAAATATTAATTTGTATATATAAATATAATATATATATAACTATTATTAATAAATATTAATATTTTTGAAAATCGTTTTCTATATTTTTGTAATTGATAAAACTGAAATAATATTTTTATTGCTACTATAATTATAATTTCAATTATTATTCTAATTTTTAATACTAATTAAAACTGTATTGAAATTATTACATATTTTTGTTATTTGGAAGCTTCAATACTTCTAAAGTATTTAATCCAGTTTTCATTATTTCAGTAATATTTAAAATTTTTGAATTATTTCTATTATATATTCTTATTATCAAATATTATGAAATAATTTTTTAAAGTTATTTCATAATTTCGTTATGTAACCTATTTCTTGTCATATGAATAATATTTAAAACAAGATTTAATTATGAAAATTTTTAATATTTAAAATATTAAAAATTTAGTTATTTAAACCGTTATTTAAATAGTCAAATAATTTTTTTATTTAAAATTTTAAAATATTATATATCTACGAAATTTAATGATCCTTAAATTATAATTTATAATATTATTACATAATTTCGTTATTAAGTTTGTAAAATGTAAATTTATTATTAATTCAAATACTATGAATTCTTTTATATTTATTTCTCTATTTTTAAGAAATATTTTAAATTTATTATATAATTTCATTATTTTGGATATTTAAATTTTATTCATGTTAAATATTTTATTATTTAAAATATTTGGCTACTTAATATTATTTTAATATTAAAATATTTATGTTAGTATTTTAAAATTATTTCATAATATTAAATATTTTTATGTTTAGTGTTCTGTTATTTAAAATATTTTTATTGAACTATTTAAATAATATTTTAAATTTTTTAAGATTTTATTACTCTAATAAAATTTAAAAATTTGTTTTTTATTTTTAGTTATTAATTTTAATATTCCCTAAAATAAAATTTATATTGTTATTACATAATTTCATGATGAATTTTTAAAAATATAAAATTACTAATAATCTAAATATTCTTAGTTCTAGTATAATTATTTCTGTTTTTTAATAAACAATTTATGGTCATTACATAATTTTTTATAATATTTAAATAATTGTTAAGTTTTTCAGGCTTTCTTTAGATAGAAATAGATGAAAAAGTAGGGGAGGGGGATAAATAAGAAATAGAGATAATTTAGGAGATAATACTGGGTGTGTTTTTTCGGAGATACAATTTCTTAAAACAATACCCTTTTTCATGGGAAAGTGGAGGAGAGAATAGAGGGGAATTGGAGTGAGATTTTAGTAAAAGGGATAGTGGTGCCAAGTGGCTAGATATCAGAAAAATAAATCTCTCTTTCTTTATCTATTGGTTATTTGTAAAAATAATATAGAATAAAATATTCAAGTGCTCCTACAATAATCCACCCAGAGTGACCCAACTTTAGCTTTAGCCATGAAAAAACTTAAAATTAATTAACTTCCTTAAAACTTATTCACTATAAGACTTAACCTTATCAGTTCAGCCACTTCAGCTGTAATCAAACTTCTGTGAAGAGACAACACTGATTTATTAGTCTTGTTTAATTAATTAAGAGCTGTAGTTAGAACATAGTACAAATTAAAGTGCCTCCTGACAACAAAACAGCAGCTATCTCACGGCATCACTATAAACCATGCATCTATATATAGCAACCGTCTTCGAACACTAATTTAGGGTATTACTTGGTGCTGTTTAGTCTGAAATTAATTGAACTTTTGCTTGAAGAAACAGGAGAATTGAGTTTTATAATGGAGACCGGCCCTTGGTTTGCAAATTAAAGAAGCCTTATAAAATTTTAAAAATAATAATAAAAAAAAAAGACTTTGAGGGGGTCATGCTTCCATGCATCATGGTTGTAAAATAAGTGGAGGTTCATTTGTTTTTTCCTTGAGTAGTTCAACAACTTCTTATTTCTCTTACCAATATAATCGCACCTTTTCTTACTAACAATGCAACTGATATTTAAAATACAGAAGAAGACATCAATTTAAGACTAATGGATGGTGTATAAAATGCAAAAGTATTAGAAGGTGAACTGCTTTTTCAGCAAGGTTTGTTTGAATCTCCTTTTTCATATAGAAGGAAGAAAATTGGAAGAGAAGTTAACTGAATCTTATAGATTTGGTAATTGCACATGTATAAGCCTGTCAGCACAGCTCCCTTTGATTAACGTGGTAACTAAGTTGCTCAAATTGAAGATTACCCGAGAAATATAGATTATATAAGTTAATAAACCAATCAGAGAAATGAACCCAAACCATCAGATTTGCAGGACTCAAAGATGACCTTTTGGCCTTGGATACACGGATAACAAGAATAGCTATTTATTGTATCCTCACCTCGGAACCTAACAGAAACCCAAGACAGCCATAGATAACTGTACTGATATCGATCAAGTTCTTTATTTAAAAAATGGAGTGCAAAGATCAAGAGAAGACAGCTGATATGGAGAAGCCGACAGAGAAGAGCTGTCACACCCTTTCTCTACTTCAAGGAGACGAGCAGTTCTTCAATAGAATCATTTCAAGGGATGCTTCAAATGGCTTCTCTTCACGTATTTATTTCCGGAGTGGCGAAGGGATTCCATTCAAATGGGAAGTACAGCCCGGGAAAGCGAAAAGCCAACCGGAAACAGAGTCAATTCCACCGCTCAGTCCCCCGCCGGCAATTCAGAGTGCAGGTCTAGGACGGCCATGCATCGATCCAGTTGAACCGGCCAAGGGACTGCTATGGTCAAAGGTCTGGTTTTGGAAGAAAACCAGAAGAAGCCAACCTCCAAACAAAACTCAAACAGTATTAAGAGAAGTTATTTCTGATTCTTCAGGCTCTGATTGGGTTGAAAAGTTGGAGTCTTACAGTTCAGACACTGATTCAATCGCATCACCTCGCCACTCAAATGCTTCATACCTAATGTCTCCCGTTTCATCTTCTTCTCATGGTCCATCATCATCACGGTTTGCAGCGCCAAGAAGCCAGAAAGGAGCAGATTTCGGGGGCAGAGGGAGTATCGAAGATCTGGATTGGCGTTTGCGTTGCAGTCCTTGGAATTTTGCTGGAGTTTCAATATGTGTGGCTAGAAGAGAGTGAAACATTTTCAGGAATCTGGTTCTTTAGTTTCTTTTGTTGTTTCTTTTATATCGTAAATTAGATTTAGTATTTGAATATGTATAAAGTTTAAACTACCAAAAAATCAAAAAATTAAATAAACAATAATAGCAGAAATGAAAGTAAAACTAGTATGATACAACTTCTGTTTGCATTAATCGTCCTTGAATAAGTGAAATTAGAAGAGATTGAAACATTTTCAGGAATCTGGTTATTTAGTTTCTTTTGTTATTTCTTTTATATCGTAAATTAGATGAAGTACTTGGGCATGTATAAAGTATAAACTACCAAAAGATAAAAAAACTGAATAAATAACAATAGCAGTGATGATGCACAATCTGGCCGGTCTTAGCTGTTGATGTTCTTGCCTCTGAAATGAGCAACAGGGACCTGAAACGGGAGGGGAAGAGAAGCTCCGGGGAGAACCCGGCGTAAGGGCTCC